CATATTGAGTGAAGGTTTCTGACATGATGTACAGTCGCAAGTCCGAAATTGAACAAAGCTCCCGTCTGAAGGTGAACAGCCTGTGGGTGTTTTCCCCTCGGCGTCTTGTCAAAACAGATTACTCAGCCACCCCCAGCCCCTTTGCCTCCCACTTGAAGATTAAAAAAAGTGGGGGGGCACCCATTTGAGTCAGTTGAAGGATGCTGTTGCCCAGAATAAATGTGTTCTGCAGCTCTGTGACGTTATGCACGGTATTTAATCTTGTTTATGAAACCAGCCCATCTGTGCCTGATCTGCTCTATAGAAAAAGCCATTTCCCCAGCATTTGGTATTTTTCCTAAGTGGTTGCAGTAGGGCAGCGTTTCGGAGTGACTAATCTAACCTTAGATGAGCTCTGGTGATGCAGTGGTAAAGCGCTCCACTCCTGCCAATAGTCTGTCGGTTCGAACCCACCAAGCCTCTGGGATAAAGCTATGACAGCTTTCTATAATGCTGACAGCCTTTGAAGACCCTATCCTACCTATGGTATGGGGTCGTAATGCTGCGCTGTCTACTCAGGGCAACGTTTCCTTTCGTTTTGTTTTGTTTTAATATAACCTTAGTTAAAATTGGTACCTTTAAAAGGTACCAACTGTTGTTGAAGAGGAGAAAATAGAGAAATGTATTAAGTTTAATACATAGCCCTGTAAGTACTGCCTTAGCCCAAGAAGGCTAAATTTGAATTAATGTCTCTGTAGCTTTGCCTGTTCAAATGGCAGTCTTCTAGCCGATTCGCTTTATTGGTATATAGAGTCTACTTTATGATTATACTGTATATATTCATATACACATAGATGAAGTTTTTTCTTAAAGATTGTAGAATAACACCTTTTTCCAGATTTTAACATCCATTTATAAAAATCACTGCCATCAAGTTCATTCCCACTCACAGTGACCCTAAACCCATAGACATACTAAGTGCAGCTCATCTACAGATAAGTGAACAACCTAAAAAGTTAATTAGAACAAACTCCCCAAGAAAGAAAACCGGTGCTAGTGCTGAATTAGTAGGTACAGTTTCTGTTTGCAGGCCATAACAGATTTTTCTATTTTGAAGTGAGTCCCAATCATTGTGCTTAAATAGGTCTGTTATTTCTGAAGGTGCTTGTGTGCAGAATCCTAAACAATTTTCACCCAAATCTAGACTTTCTCAATATAACCTTGATGCCTTTTCCTTTGCACATCAATCATAGGGCCTTTGAGATTGTGTTCAGGAAACCAGGAAGGAGCTTTGTGTAGTTGTTTTCATTTTTATTACATCAAACATGTGGAAAGATAACATAGGAATGTTTTATAGGGAAAGTATTCACTTTACATCAGAATTATTAATTTTTCCAAATTGCAAGCATCCAGATTGCTTTTTTTTTAAATGAAACACTTTTTATGAATAGAATTCCTAAACAAAACATAGAACCCACATAAAATGGCTTAAATCAGTCCTATAAATGGAGTATTTTGAAGTTTGTTTTCATTTTTTCTAGAAGGTAGTCCGTAGAATACTAAGATAATGGGAAAATAGGTACCTGGGCTTTCAGTAGTTCTAAATTCCCTGGTAGTATTTCAGAAAGCTCTTAACTTTTTTTAAGATCAAAATTTATGTCAGAATTGTGGTTATCAGTATAATTTTAAAACATCCAGGCAAGTTTTTCTATTTGTCTAATGTCCTAAGTGCAGTGAGGAAAATAAAATTGTTCAAATCACTGAGTTATTTTTACTTTTCAATCCGTCTTGCAAATAGGTAACATAGCCAACAATGCTTTTATTTTGCACTTAAAATAGATCATTCACTCTTTCACATTAAGGTTATTAGTGTAGTTTAATAATATCTTTAACAAATGTAAAACATTTGATGATTAGAACAGTACTTTCAGTGCACAGTGATTCATACCGTAAAATGATACACTTAATCTTTTCTGTTGTATTATCAGCATTCATTTCAGAATTTTCATACTCTGAAGATTAATGTATCAGTATTAAACAGAAACACTGGAGATGTAGAGCAATGTTGTGATGATGGTGGCTGCTGCCATAGCTTACAAAGCTGCTGATTAGGATTGCTGAGGGGAGAGGACTGTTAGTTCCCATGCTTTTCCTGCCACGCCTTCATGCGGAGTCTGTGAAGTCTGTCCTTTGATTAGTATCTACATGTACTTTTCAACAAAGCTATTCGCTGTTGGCATTTTATTTCCTAGAGTCTGGGTTGGTCAAAATTTTGTTCAGAGTCTGTAATTCAGTTTCTTAACAACTGTCGATAAAGGAATAATTGAAGTAACATAGGTAGGAAGTTATTAAATGCATCCAATGTGGTTTATGATCACCCTGTTAAAGATCCACATTGCCTTTTTGATCTTCACCGGCAGGAAATTTGACATGTGATTCTAAGACAAGAAGTGTTTCAGAAAGTAAGTTTTCCAGAAAATTGAACCAGAACATTTCAACAGTCAAATATATTATGATACG